GTCTTTAAGGTGCCACCAGACTCTTTTTTGTTTTTGTAGATACAGACTAACACGGCTACCCCCTGATACTTGTAAATTGAGATGTCTCATCACTTTGATATACCATATAAATACTAACCAGACTGCATTGGAGACAATGAACCTCGCCCCCCCCCCCTTCTTGTTGATTTGTGCATCACCAATTAAAACCATGTGTGCTTTGATCTCCCACCAAGAGACAAAGGGCCATGGGGCAGCCATTATCAGTAAAGAGCGGGATTAAGCAAATGCATATCAGGGACACAAGGGATTACAAGAGGGGGAGAAAAGAGCTCTCATTTGTTTAATTTGGACAACCAGATTTGAAAAGCCTCACCACTACAGATTCAAGGAAGAAAGGAATTGACTATCAAGGAACCAGTGTGTGTGGAAACTAGAGCGTAAGCTTGCCACTTCATAAGCACTCGAGGCAAGAGAGACAGGGAGCATTCTGCATGTCTGGAAGCAGATGAGGATGGGCAGATTGTGATTACCAGAGGGAAGAGGACTATGAGGAATTCTGCATAGCTAGAAGAATCCAATCATTAGAAGGGCCTCCGTGTGGAATCTGCAGAAAATATCTCTGAAGATCCAGCTGGCTGAATGGAATGGAAAGCAGACGGGATGTACGTGAGGATGGCTGCTCAGCCCAACCCACAGGACAATCAAACTTGCCCACAAAGAGATCTCCAACCGTCCAGTGAGGACAGACAATCCTTGTTTGGGATTCTGTACTATGAAAGAATAGAATGTTTTCTGTAAGACCCAGATGGACAATGGGATGGTGTGCGGTCTTCCAGGAGCCAAGATGTGAGATGTGACTAAAATTGGGTAAGCTTCTGAAGACGATGGGCACTAATATTCACTGGCGATGGTGAATATTGGCACTAATGACACTACATGGCAGGATACCTCACAGATAGTAGATGACTTCCAAGAACTCAGAAGGATGCGGAAGGAGAAGACTGTCCAAGAGCTCTTCTCTGAGATACTTCCTGTCCCATAAACAAAGGAAGACACAAGGCAGAAGATCCTGGATGTGAACTGCTGGCTAGGTAAGAGGTGTAAAATTAGAGGGGTCTGATTTTGTGGAACATTGGTCCACTTTTCTATGGGGAGAATGAGTTATACAGTTTGGATGCCCTCTTCCATCTCCGTAAAAGGGGAATCGATCTTCTAGGGCGCAGGCTGGCTAGACTAATCAAGAGGGTGTTAAAGTAACAACAAAATGGGAAGATAAAAAGGGGGAACAAACTGGAACTCACTTGGAATAAAATCAAGTTAATTAGACTAAAATTAGTTAAGACATCAAGGGATGTGATGAGAAGTTATTTACTTGCCTATACACCAATGCTTGAAGCCTGGGTAATAAACAAGAGGAATTGAAATTGCTCATTTTTGCACATCTGTTCAGCCTAGTTGGTATTACTGAAACTTAGTGTGAAGGTTTGTGTGATTTGAATTGTAAAAATCAATTATTATAACCTAATTAAGAAGTATTTAATTAAGAAGTGGGCAAAGGGAGAGAGGGAGTAGCACCCTGTCAGATATGACTTTGCCTATTTCTGAATCATTGGTGCTTGAAAGCAAATGATCTTGAATACTTATAGGTCAATGTTCTAAATTTAGTAAAGCGCGCACACTCTCTCCTGGTGTCCTAAGTCCACTTCCTTTTGTCTCGAATGTGTCACTTTGGAATTCTAATATTCCAGCAAAATGGCACAAATGTCCCAGAAGATATTTTAATGTGACATCAGGGTTAAATGGCAAGTTCTTGGAACCTTTCCATTATTGCTTATATCGCATCTGAAATATGGGAGGCAATTTGCAAGAAGACTGGGCTCCTGCCTGAGAAGTGAATGTGAATAAGGAACTAAATAAGTTATTTGCGAAGTTAAATAATTATCTGTGAATGAATCAGAGGCAAAAGCAAGGTCATTTTGCCCTAAACTTGCAATGCTTGGTCTTTTGCTAAGGCATTTTATCAGTTCATAGTTATCACCAAACCATCTCTGGCTTCATTTCTAAATGCCACTGTGTGATTTTTGTGAGCTATCGCTCAAGAATACAGGGTATTTAGGGTTTATTAACAGATCCCATGTCAGACCAGAAATATGTTATCTTCTGTAACCCTTTGTATTTTAATAGTATTTGAACGGTACTAAAATGAACAATGAGTTTATAAAATTCATTAGTCTTTCGTGGTAATAGCAAAAGTCATGCTAAATTACTTTCTCAAGTGTGAGCTTTTATTTAAATTTCATATGTTAAAACAGGACAATATTTTTTTAGCCTTTAGCGGGGTACAGTATGTTTGTGCAGTGTCAGCATGACTATAGGTCACCCTGTTTATGGCATCCATTAATCCGACATACCCCTTACTTTAAAAACACAAGCCACACCTGACACATCTCCTTGCCTTCCCAGCTTGTGCAGATTATTATAAATACGACCCATTTGGAGAAATCCTGCAAGTTCCTAGAAGAATTCATAACCAATATCACCAACGTACTCCCGGAGACTGTCCATACTACCAAACTCTATGGCACTACCACCTTCAAGGTGAGAAAATCATAGTAACCTGGGGTGTTTTGTGGATTATGTCTGACTGTAGATACACCATTTGTGAGTTGTGCATGCTCCACAAATAATCTTGTGCTGTGAAATGTGTTTGGAAACATCCACACTAATCTTTTTAATAATTTTATAAAATCTGTGCAATCCTTTCAATATGTGTTGTTTTTCAAATTATTTGAATACTGCTTTCTTTAAAAACAAAAAAGCCCGTCGTCAGCAATTTAGTATTTATCATCAACCCTACAGTAACAAAGCAGCAAGGAAAACAATAACAAATGAGTCACTTCCAGATTAGTCACCTATATAACGTTCCAAAAGGTAGGCTGGAGTTTTTCCTCACTTTGTGCACCCAGTGCATGTGACCTACACAAATTCCTTTTTGCCGTAACATTCTAAAGCTGCCAAACTAAATCATCATCAAGTGTTTGCCACTATTAAGGCATTTTATCAGCCCCTAGCGAACAGTCCCTCAGACAAGCAAATGGTAGGAAGTATACTACCTCACCAAAAATACATGGATGGGTTAACTTTTGAGAACACAAATTACAGATAAGTGACTTTTCCCAAAGAGCAAAGCACCCAGGCCCGGGCTTTCTCTGTGAAACGGTGAACTAATATCAATAGGGTAGTAGTACAGGGAAGACAGGATGCTGGAAAAACATCATTGCCGTTTTTTCATTCATACTGGAAAGCAGCGGCAGTCTGGAGAACACTGCTGGGTTTGGCTTTCCTACAGTATGTCAGCCATGGACGCAGCTGAGCTCATTTGACCATGTCCACCGAATTTCAAGCCAACATTCTCTTAGATCCCAGCTTTCTGCATTTATGCTTGAGAGCAGTTGTTTGCTTGACAGCTCTCTTGGCCATAAGTTTACACACTTGTAATTTTTAGGCTATAAGACGACTGTAGCCATCATAGAAATCATAGAAATGTCAGGCTGAAAGGGACCCTGGGAAGTCATTGAGTCCAGCCCCCTCCGCTGAGGCAGGACCAAATAAACTTCAACCGTCCCTGACAGGTGTTGGTCCAACCTGTTCTTAAAAACCTCCAATGATGGGGATTCCATAACCTCTCTTGGAAGCCTGTTCCAGAGCTGAACTTTTAACCAGTTCTCATCCAGACCAACATTCAGTATAAATAACCTAGGTATAACTACTGAGCATAAGTTCTGCTAATGCATTTCTCTACATGACTGTCCAAGAATAATATTTCCTTGTGGATAGAAACCTCTTGCTAGATGCAGATAATAACTGGAAGGACTATGTGGTGTATTCAGAAATTACTATTTTTCTGTGCACTTCAGAGGCTGAAATCAAGCCCACATTCCTGCTTTGACTTGCAAGTAAATAGCATTGTTACCCAATTAGAAAAGGGAACAGAGCCACTAATGGGAGAATGCAAAAACATTATCAGCTAGACTGGTAGAAAAAAGGAAGATCTACACAGCATGTAGGACAAAAAAGGGAAGCCAATGAAGAACAAACCATGAATGTGACACCACATCTTGTTACCTTCCTAGTGTAGAGTGAGTTGAACCGGTGCACAGTACAGCATGCTCTGTACACTAAGTGGGCCAATTTCATTCCCATCCCATTTTAAGGAGTCTTCTCTTGTTTCCCAGGATGCCCGCCATGCTGCAGAGGAAGAGATTTACACTAATCTGAACCAGAAGATAGACCAGTTTTTGCAGCTGGCAGATTACGACTGGATGGCCGCTGAACCGGGCAGCAAAGCCAGCGATTACCTGGTAGATCTCATTGCTTTCCTGCGCAGCACCTTTGCTGTGTTCACACACCTACCTGTAAGTGACAGTGGTCTCTTTCTTTGAAAACTGGGAGTGCCTGGGGGTTCTGATGCCATTGTAGAACTTTACCTCTGAACTGTAGTGGAAATGATGCATTGTGCTGTTGTCATGAACAGAACTGATTTTTCAAATAAGGCATTTCAAGTGTTATCAGAAGTCAGGCTCCCTCAGGGAGCTCCCAAAACCGCTTCTTAAAGCCTGAGAGAAACATACAGAGCTGTTGATTTAAAAAATACGGTAAGGGATATAATTAACGAGGTACTCCATTTAAATTCGATTTTAAATAACTGGGGTATAGTTTTATTTTAATCAGTGTTAAGTGACTATTTTAGAAAAGGTACCACGTTTGAGAATATATTTTGCCTTTGAGTTTTTCAGTTGCATATTTTGTAATAATGTGCTCATAATGTCACCAGTTCAAAATATAGCTCTGCATCAAACAGAAGAGAGTAGCTTTTTCTCTGTTTACAATACACCTGCATTTACTTATTTCTAGAGAAATCATCCCGTTATCCATTGAATTCTGTTATTGACCTGCTAGAGTATAATATCCTATATAGTAAAGTAAACTTAATAATCAGGCATTTTCACTTATCCACAAAGAACTCCTTTCTTGTTAAAATTTATTTTGGGTCCTATGGATTTGTCCCTGTTAATATTTTCCATCAGTAGAACTTTGAAATGTCAAAACTATGGAAAAATGTATTTCTATTACATGTGGTTACATCTTTTCACTCTTTCATTTTACTACTTATCATTCACTCTGGTAGCTGCCCAACTCAGTGGCATTTGGGCGCATAGTTTGTTAAATTTCATCAGCTGTGATATAGACTAAAAAGACTGACTCTTAAGCATTTGTAGTTCTGTCTGTCTTAGCTTCATCCTGCTTGTTCATCTCTCTGACTGATCTACTACAAAGGTTTTAGACCACTCGTCAGTGTCATTTAGCCAATATTAAAGCCAAAGCCTTAGTGGTACCTTTTTCAAATCCTCCGCCTACGGCATCTTGGATCCCATAAGGGTCCTTGTTGTGGTGTCTAGAAGATTTGACAGCTGGAAAGGAATTAGTTCTGATTCCTAGGGATGGAGAAACAGCCAGAGGCATGGTGAGAAGGATTTGTTCCAGTTAATCAGATTTGAAGACACCACTGTGAATGAGGTGAGAAGGGGGAATGTTAAGCATCGCAACTAACTTTTGCAGGAGAGATTGGGCTGTGGTGGAGAGAGATTGGAGCGTTTTCACCCATCTCTTCCTTTTGGGTCACCTATGTTTTCAAAATGACTCCATCCCATATTGCAGCGCAGATAGGGAAGTGACATGTCAGTGGCCAGACAGGGACTTGTGTCAGAACCAGGCTTAGAATTTGGGGATTGCTGGCTCCAAAGATTGGTTTCTTTAACTACTAGATGTTGTCTTACTAGGGATCTGGATATAACTACAGTGACCTCTACCATGGGTTGTCATCAGGTTTTGAATCTGGACCTTCAGCCCCATAGCACACACCTCTACTGCTTGAACTTGCGGAGTAATTTAGTAGTAAGTTTTTGCTAGGTAGAGATGGTACAGTAAAAAGTAAGAAGAATTCATACTTTCTCAGTTTATCCTGGATGCTTTATTAGTGTTTTTAATGCATGAGCACCTGGGATGAAAGAAGAGGCATGTTTTTGTAGGAATCCAAATGAATATTTATTTGGGAAATTAAATACTTAAGTGCCCACAAAATCATTGCAACATACCCCTTCCCCTTCAACCCTTTCACACACGCCTCCTCCAGTAAGGAGAGAAACTCCCTCTTTGTTCATCCTCAGCTTCTGTGTTGTCTTGCTGTAGACCTGATTGACAGGGTATCTTTTCACCGAAGCATTAAGCATGGCTAACGTGGGGCTGTGAAGAAGGAAAGACATGCCCATAGTGATTTATGAGATGGACCTGGAGTGATTTATCTTCCTTAAAACATTGTTTCCTTTTCAAATTAATCAAAATTGTTTTGGGACTAGGGAGGGCATCTGCTTACTCCAAAAAAAAATTGAGGAGGGTAGAAGCAACCTCTCTATCAAGCTAAGATATGTAAAACTACCCAACTGCTTAAAAAGTCACTCTGCCTTTCCTAATAGTAAGGATGCCAGGTAACGAGTTAACAACATTGAGCCAGCACATATGTAGCACCTTATCCTCAAAGCATCATACAAAAACGAATCCTCACAACCGCCCTATGGAAGTATGGGAGATAGTTAATCAGATCTAAAAGTGTGATTTGTAATGCTGCACATCTAGCTTAAATAGTTTGTAGGGGGAGGTGGGTGTGGAATTTTTAATATTTCAGAGCTATGTTCTTTACAAGAACAGTGTGAATGTGCCCTCATTCTAAGTTGTTCGAGGGTTCCTCTGTGACTTGTAGCCTATGTTAAAGTCAGGGAGAAATGTGACATTGTATACATCCTGGTTTGTTTGTTTTTTAAATCCTTAAATACACTTAGATCTCTTTTCTCTCCCATTCTTGTTGGGTTTTCCTGGCTGATCCCATAATTTTGCTTTGTTTCTAAGTGTATTTTTTATTGTTTTCAAATAAAATGTCAACCCTTATGCACAAAAGAAATCCCAAGTCTAACCATATAAAAGCAGTACGTAGAAGCAATACAAAAGCAGTATGTACTTTGTAGAAGAATATGGATGAAAGAGAAAACAACTAAATAAAAAAGATGAGTTATAGGTATATATGAGAGTATTGCTAAAGGAATAATAGAGCCTTTCACCTCTAGCTTGTTGGTTTGAATCCAGCCCAAGTCATTAATGACCGAGTATTACTACCATGGGATCAGGGCTGGCTCCAGCATTTTTGCCGCCCCAAGCGGTGTAAAAAAACAAAACCAAAAAGCCGCAATCGGCGGCGCTTCAGTGGCAGCTCTACCGCCACCGCTTCATTCTTCGGTGGCAATTCGGCGGTAGGTCCTTCCTTCTGAGAGGGACTGAGGGACCTGCCGCCGAAGAGCCGGATGTGCCACCCCTTTCTGTTGGCCGCCCGAAGCACCTGCTTACTGCGCTGGTGCCTGGAGCCGGCCCTGCATGGGATGAGTGTTGGTGCATTGTGTGAAGAGAGTTTGCAGTCTTGTTTTCCCCCCTTCCCCCCAAATTACCACCATGACTGCACACTTTTAGCTGTTTAATAAGAGGTAAAAGATTGAGTGGTCCATGGAGAGTGAACTATCCTCTTACTGCTAGAAATGGCCCTGCAAAACAGGGTTGAGACATGTTGAGGGAAGAGCCCCCTTTCCCTGGCCATCTTGCTCCTGTTCTGTGGTTACTTTGTTTCCCAGAGTTGTTGATCAGGCACCTTTCACAGTTACTGAATTCACACAATTAAAAATATCACCAATATTCTCCACCAATTTTTTTAACTTTTCAAATTCACTAGAAGAAAAATCAACATAAGTCTCTGGAAATGACTAATAGTAAGAGACAGGTTAAATGGTAAGCATTAAAGTAGCCTTGAAAATTGTCATGAAAATTTACCAGCCCACACTCAAAAGCAACTTGCCTGCCTTTCATCATGATGATCCTAAATAAAAGTGTGTAATGTTTTGCTTGCTGATCAAAGAAATTCACCCTGGGCATGCAGAATTTTGCCAAGGCTATACAAAAAGGACCAGACCTGAAGTATAACCTTGAGACAAAGCCCTGGTCCTGCAAAGACCTATTTACTTGCTTAACTTCATGCATGTGAGTAGTTCCGTTGTCTTAAATAGGACTGTTCCTGTGTATAGAAGTCCCTGCAGAGTCAGGGCTCTAAGTATCCAGCAGATCAGATTTACTTGCAGAACCTGGGTGCCCCAAGTTTGCTGAAAAAATTAAAGTGGTAACTCTGAACAATACGCAGGGTAAATTTTGGTCTGAGAGCTGGGCTTTGGTCATGCAATTCCGATTTGAATCCACAAGAGACCCTAAACTTTCACGATAGTTGTAAGTTGTAAAATTTTAATATTGACCCAAAGTATTACAAGTTAGTAGAATTTAAAAAGAACTTTGAAAGTCTCCTTTGTTCTCATACAATCAAATGGGAGTTGTATTTTCCAGTTTCAACTCTACAGTGTCAGCTTGGACTTCATAGGGGATGATGGGAGGGAAGTGTCTATTGTAGTTTCTACGAGTCATCATCTCTCAAGATTGGGTGAGAGCAGCAGGTATTTCTAAGGAAAATGGCAATTTCCTTAAATTCTGAATTCCCTGGATTCTGTTAGGTTTTTTGCTCTCATCCTTTGACAGCATTTTGGCTTTAGATATGAATTTTTATAGCATTGATTAGTGTATTGATGGCTAGGACGGACAGGGCTGTGTAGGGAAGGACATATTTGCATTTCTTCCTAACTTTCTGCTAGTTTGGGAAGATGGCAAATGCAGGGCTGCAAATTGGAGCCAGGACCCACCAGCATGTCTCTAGCACATGTTGCAGGGTGAAGAGTTCATGGTTAAGCCATCGAGACTCTGGCACATAACACCACAGCACAGAACTTTCATGGTGGTTTAGAGCCACAATTTAAAAATGGTCTGCTAAGTGCACTAAACAGCTCAAAACAAATAATACGTTATTGGAAATAAAAGCACAGCGAACGTTTGGCCCTGAGGCCCTTTCCTTTCTGAATTACCAAGTGCAAGTAACTTACCATATGCTGCCTGCCTCACTGTTGGTAAGGTAGTGTACTCGCCTTCTGTAAAAGTTTAAATAAAATGCTTTGCTAAAAGAAAAAGGTGGCTTCCCTGCTCTTTAGAGAGCACAGGGCCACAGTTTAAATAGATTCATATTTTGTGCAAAACGCTTTAAAGAGAATGAATGAAAAAGCCTTTTGTCCAAGATGGCTGATGGTTATTTTTATTTCTTGTTAGACAAGCTAATGTAAATCGCATTGACAAGGCTACTCCAAACACACTGATTTGTTGACTTTAAGCCTTTCAAAGATGGAGGGTTGTGTCAACACCTACAATGAGCTGTCAGGTTAACAAAGCAAGGATGTTTTTTTGCTAGGGGGCGGGGAGGGGAGTTGGGGAAAGGGGTGTGTTTTGTTTTTATTTTAAATTTCCTTTAATCCTCTGTTAGTCTTGTATCTTGATAACCTCCTTTGGAAGGTAATCGGCTGAGGCCAAGAGGTGACAGTGACCTGGGAAAGGGAAGTAATCTTTCAGCAATCCTACAACTGTAACCTCTCCAGTCTCAAGCAATTCAGCATGAACTCTTTGCACAGGGAGTCTTTTCCTGTGCGTTTATTTTTGCCAGATGGTGAACACAGATTTCAGCTGTAACTGTGTAAACTCTATGGATTCTTTGCATGGGATGCTTTGTCCAGTGCCCCATTAGCTGTATCGACATCTCTTTGCAGTTGCAAATAAACGCAGTCATCCTGGCAGTTCACATGTTTTGTAGCAAGAACTTTAAAAGAGAGGTAGATTTTTCTTGTAAAGAAAATGGTTTCCTATGTTGCTTTAGTAGATGAAACATTTCCTCCATCACATATTGAAAGAAGGAAAACCGTGCATGGAAGTAAATACAGGACAAATCTGAGTTTTATTGTAAGCATAGCCTTGACTGCTTTGGTCAAGGAAGATGCTCATCTTATGTTGTCCTGGTGGAAAATATCTGGCATGAAAACAGAATATGAGCACTAAAAACTTCATTATATTGTAGCTTAATACTGAGATCATAGTGAGATACTGAGATAAGGGTGTCAGTTTAAATGTGTGCGCAGTTCTTTAATATGCTGTCAAGTTCTTGAAGTGACAGCTTTAGTGAGAGTCTTGTTTAAAGAGTAAGCTTTGTTGTAGGAGATGATCACCGTACTCCTGAACTGCTCCCACCTGACTACCATTCACACTGTTACTTTGCTCTCTTATGCATTTGATTTAAATTCCCTGTGTTGTCCTCTGTAGGGGGATGTAGATGTCCATTCTACAATGTCGGTGAGTATGACTGTGTGTTGTTTGCATTCAGTATGTTCTGCTCGCAGTTCAAATATTAGAGGGTTATTTGAACCAGAAAAGGTCTGTATTCTGGGAGAGGTGAAGAAAAGCAACCTAAATCTTACTGTTTCAGAGTAGACGTTTAACCCTTTCACTGCTGCCAGAATGTACGCATTTTCCTCCATTTATCAATAGAAAGTGAATAAATAGAGCGTGTAGGAGCACAGTGAAGAAACAGGTTTCCTGACATACAAGGCGCTCTCGGGTCAATAAGTGTAGCATTGACACAGCATCTTTTTAGAAAGAATACTCTAGTGCGAGGTCTCACATAAACCCAGTCTGCCAGGATCCCTTACCTGCTTCAAAGGCCGCAGCAGCCCTTTTAGCCATGGAGTACTGCCTAGGACCTCCTCCAAAGCCCACTAGCACTGCTCAGAGAGCAAGGACCAAGCTTTGTCCTGGGCTGATATCCCCAGTATGACACGCTGAGGCAGTGCGGTATACTGGCACCACGTGGCAGGGTTGCAGCAACCTTACGAAAGATGAACCCGTCCCAAATTGTTGAACTAACGAAGAAGATCTACATTTAAATGCTGCCTTTTATTCCAGTACATCATAAATAATATCATAGACTCATAGACTTTAAGGTCAGAAGGGACCGTTATGGTCATCTAGTCTGACCTCCTGCACGACGCAGGCCACAGAATCTCACCCACCCACTCCGGTATCAAACCCCTGACCTATCTCTGAGCTATCGAAGTCCTCAAATTGTGGTGTAAAGACTTCAAGGTGCAGAGAATCCTCCAGCAAGTGACCCGTGCCCCACGCTGCAGAGGAAGGTGAAAAACCCCCAGGGCCTCTGCCAATCTGCCCTGGAGGAAAATTCCTACCTGACCCCAAATCTGGCGATCAGCTAAACCCTGAGCATGTGGGCAAGACTCACCAGCCAGACACCCAGGAAAGAATTCTCTGTAGTAACTCAGATCCCACCCATCTAACATCCCATCACAGGCCATTGGGCATATTTACCACTAATAGTCAAAGATTGATTAATTGCCAAAATTAGGCTATCCCATCATATCGTCCCCTCCATAAACTTATCAATACATAGTGCTATTGAAATGCAGTCACCTCTGGGGTACACTTATTGCCTGCTACCCCCTTCTCGATAATGGGAGAGGGGTCATTTAGCCAAAGAAACTGGGGCAAATTCCTATGATGAAAAGTACCATGGGGTCTTTAATCTCCACTTAGCAGACTTGGCCTTTGTTTTTAATATCTTATTGGAAAAACCCTCTCCCACATACGCTGTAATCTGCATGTTTCTCAGTCTGTGTCTACTTCACACAGCTGACCGGCGGAGTTGGCCCTGCTGGGTTTTGAATTTATGGTTCCACAGAGTCTAAATATTCCCAACCTGATGCTTTAGACTACTAAACCTTCCCCTCTGCTTATAATTCTGGAATATTTTCTCAGTGAGTAGTGCAGGCTCTTGATGTTACGATCATGCTTATTTGGATTAGGGCAATTAGCACAAAGAAAGCAAAGCAGATCTCCAGGACCCGCATTCTGGTTCAATGGATGCCTCTAATTGTTGTCATTTATGCTTGTTTACATGTTCAGTAGAAAAACTAAGACATTTTCATGGATAGATCACAAACAAAATACATCCTCGCTACCTTGTTGTTTTCTGTTCCAACTTTTGCAAGCCAAGGCACGTGTTAACAAGTGCACCTCATTACTGTAGACACAATTCTGCTCTACTCGGGTTCTCTCGTGTAAGATAGTACACATTACGCTGTAGTATTTACCCCAACTGTAAGCTTCTGCATTTAACCCATGCTCTTTATTAAAGCTGCCTGTTGGCTGTGACAGTAGTATTGACATTTCATGATGCAGTTGGGTGCACATACCCCCTTTCCTGGAAACTGAGCATAGCTATGTCTCGAGTGCTTTCAGCCTTCAGACACCTGGGGGGTTCCTAAGTCAGCGTGTAGCTTTCAAATCAAGGCCAACTTCTGAAAAGAAAGTGGTTTGTTAAAGCCGTTTGAGACGAGAGTCCATCAAAGCGATGGCTCAATTCCTGATCCCAGTCCCTCATCCTTTGCATCAGCAGGGACTCTGAGTGCTATGCCCACTGCATACTCTGCCTCTGCAGGAGAGGGGTGCCTCTGTGATGACAGCACTCTCTCCCCTCCTATGAGATTTAATGAAGCAGTGCTGGTTATTGTCTTGGTTTTGATCCAGCCCTGGGGTTATCCTCAGTGCGCTTTAAGGGACAAGAAGTCCAGCTTCTGGCTTTTCAGGACTTCCACTATTCAGAAGCCAGACGTATTTTTTTCTCTAAATGTAATCCAGTGCTTAGACCGCTATGGAGCCAGCTTCCTGTGGAGAGGGGTGCGTTAGTGTCATTAAGCTAAATCGGTGAAAAATAATCTTTGTAAGTCCCCTGCAATGCGTGAGGAGTGAAGGAGTGCCTTCCTACGGTAGGGCTTTACTAAACTGGTTTGAGTTGATTTGTTTTTAACTGCCACCGATTTTTTTTTCCTGTAACCCTCTAATTTTTTGTTCTGTAGGTAGTTTGAACTAATAGATCGAGCAGATCACTAATCGCAGCGTGCATTTTTAAAATGAATTATTTTAAAATAAAATCTGATCGCGCAATGTTGCAGCATTTCAAAGATCCTGAAACCGGGTTTAAAGGTGGCTGTGGACAATAGTCATCCCAAATAACAAGGTTTCCTCTTGCCCGTCTGGATAGACAGAGAGAAACCATATTTTAACCTAGGTACCAGCTAGGTTTACGCTGTGGTTTCCATAACATGGCTATAGCATGTTTGTGTACAGAAAAAAAGATGAAAATTAGAGGTTATTTGTAACTTGTCTGGGACACACAGACAAACATGGCTACATTTTAGTGAAGATGAGACAATGCAAAGTTTCTGAAATACCATCCATGCAGTCTTCTGTGTGTCTCCCTCCCCCGGCTTGATTCTTCTCCTGTTCCAGTCAATGCGAAAACTGTCATTGGGGTGAATGGGTGCAGGACCAAACCTCCCATGAGTTTGAACATATTGCCCCTGAAGCCCAGCCAGACCTGGGAGATTGAGATTGTGAATGGGAACAGGATCACTGACATGGTTGTTCCCTGCTGGGCTGGGCTGCCTCACCTGTTTTGCTTTGATGTCCATGTGTTACTGGTACTTGCCTGTCCTTATAAAGGGTTTTTGAAATCCAAAACCTTTAGAAGAATGAGTATAAGAAAGGCAGTAATGTTTGGGGTATGTTGTTATCCAGGGACAAGACTGACCTTTGGTTAACCTGGGGAGTGCTGGTTAACTAGAGGCTGGGTAAAAAGAGTTATCTTATAATTACATGGTTTCTTGTGTGCTCTCAGTACTTTGAAAAGTAAGTGAAGCCAAAATACCCTGTGCCATAAATCCTTTAAACTGGCATGTTCATATTCACCTAGATGTCACTTGTTTAGTTACACTGGCTATGTTTGGCTTTGGGTTCACTTCACTTCAGACTTGGTTTTTAAAAATTACTATGATATACTTAGAGTTTTGCAATAGAAAAACCAGGCGTATGAAACATTGAAATTAGCAATAGAAAGCCCATCTCCAGAGGTAAGGGATTCAAACAGGCTTGTTTCCTGCACCAGATTTCCAGTGCACAGCTTCCAAAAGCCTTAATGGGAGTTGAAGTGTTTTCCCTTTAGGCTCAAATTTAAGTGAAACAATAGACTTTGCAATTATACGCTTCTCTCTTATTTCATGCACTGGCCACATTAAATCTCATAAGACTGCCCTTGTGCATGTGAAAAGGAATGCTGATTAACACCACATCTGCTTCAAAAGCCCTAGCTATCTTGCTACATGTAAGCACAGGAGCAGCCCGATCTGCCTTAGAGGAAGGAGCAAGATCTTCAAATGTAATAGATTTCTCGTTGGTGTTTCTGGAATCCCTTTTCACAGTACTGTCCCAGAGTTGTTATTAGTTTATGCTATTTTAATTTATTCTTTTCAACAACAATCTGAGTGATCAAATACTGTAATAGTCAGCACTATAGAAATGACTGTGATTAATGATTATTTATGGAGCAGTGTAAATGTGCATAGCTTTTAACAAAAGTCTA